TTCCTGTAAATTGCAAAAAACTATCGTAAGTAATGTTCTTTTTTTTTTTTTTTTTTTTTTTTTTTAAGTTTTAAAAGTTAAATAATGATAAAAATATATATATATATATATTTATTAAACGAAATAAATTCCAAAAATAGTGGTTTTAATAAAATATTAAGTTTTATATGGTGGTTATAACGAAACCAAAATCTTATTGTTAAAAGAGAATATATATTTTCAATGATTAAACCGACATCTTTTTTAAACTACAATATTTTTATAAAATTTAACCAAACATATATGGTTCTTATAATATTACTTACATTATTCGTTTAAGTTATTTTTATCAAATATGAATATCTTGTTCATCACACAATTGTTTAGAATGTTTCTTTTACTATTCAGAATATTCTCAACAACCTCAAAAAGCTGTTTTTATTCGTAACAAAAATCGTACAAAACTAAACATTCAACATTAAATCATCCCAGTTAAATGATATTCTCTAATGGGTATATCTAACAAAAGGAGCTAAACGAAATCAAACCAAAGGAACCTTCGGAGCAAAATACTATTAGGACAATTAATTTTCATTATTTACAAAATTTTCCTAAATCGAAAAGGAGTATTTTAAGTGTAAACATTGAATAATTGGAGAAGGTTCCACTTGCCGCTTATAAGCTGAGTTGACCGATTTGGCGACTACCCTTCCTTTGCAAGGAAATGTGCCTGAACGCGTCGTTATTTCGCTATGCATTCTAATGCAAAATAGATGCCAAATCAGGATATTATTTCATAATGCATTCTAATGCAAAATAGATGCCAAATTAGGAAATGTTATTTCATAATTTTTTATTTCATTGGCATAGATGCCAAATCAGGATATTTTAGTAAAGATAAATTAACATCGGATTTTAACCGAACTAAGGGGTAGCATGTTATTTCATAATTTTTTATTTCATTGACGTAGATACCAAATCTTGATATTTTAGTATAGATAAATTATAATATGATTTTGTTTAAGAAAAAATATATAGAGTAACATACTTTCATAAGAAAAAATAAAATAAAAATACGATAAAGAATGCAAATATTAGTTAATAACAATAACTTAAATTTTGATGCATAGTTTCTTTTCCATATGTTCGTATTGAGATAAATTTTCAATGTTAGATATTACATTAATTTGTTAAATAAATTAAATCAAATTGTTGAACTTTTAATAAATAAATATATTTTAATTTGTGTGTTTTATATTTAAGTGATACACACGTCAAGTTTTTTGGACATAAACATCTTAGTAATGTGAGCAACAAATATATATTTACGCCATGTGTTTGATTAATGAAATCGTAATCTTTTGTATACTGTTTGGTCATTTAATATAAACTTTATATACTAAATGATAAGATTTATATACTGTTATCAGATTTCTGATTAACAAGTTACCATTAATAAAATAGAAAATTAAAAAATAACATATTTAATGAAAAAATTAAGTATAGATACATTGTTATTTTTGCATTTAAGCATATGGATAAAATACCAATGGAAGAAAACTTGATTATTTGATTTTTTTTCACTCGTTTTAATTTAGAAAAGTAAAATCCTCTTATAAACTTACATAAGTGGACTGGTCGATGTCTTTTGTCGACATGGTTGTTGAGAAAGCCCCTCTGCCTTTCGTTTCATTGAAATTGTAACGATTCTATAATGTTTAATAAAAATTAGGATAAATTATTTATTCATCAATAACATGACAAATAAGCTCTTGATATTGATTTTAATAACATTTTAATCATCCATAGCATGACAAATAAGCTCTTTATGAATTAACAGGATTGTTTTGTTTTTTTTTTCTTTATTAGATGACTAGGTGTGAGACCCATGTATTACATGAGTTTATTTAAAAAATATATATATGAAATTTTAACAAATTGAGAAGTTTGAATTTATAAGAAAAATGACAAAAATTTTGAATTATTAAAATTAATGATGTTTTAATACATTGAATACACTACATATATAAACCCTTTATAATAAATATCTTACATATATATTACCTTACATATTAAATGTGTAATTTTAATTTAATAAAATGAAAAATACAAGAAAATAACAAATGTAAAATAGAAAATTCAAAAATTCTAGAAAATGTCATGTGTCCAAATGATGGAGAAGATGACATGTGACAAAAAGATTTTCATTTATTAAGTAGACAGAGATATATTATAAACATTTAAAATATGAATTTATAACTCTACACAATTATACATTATACATTGTTAATAATCACCATCAAAAATCTTGAATGCTAAAATCCACCTCCAACTTTAGATAATAAGGTTAATTAACAAACCAACTATCTGTTTTATCATATATGTTCATTTTTTTTTATTATTCCAAGTTTTTAAACTTCAAAAAGTATGTAAACAAGTAAAACCATCATAAGTGGAGAGAAATGGATAGCTGTTAGAAGAGTAACATGGCGGTGACATTTTTGTCAGCATAACTTACTCATATTACGTCGATATGTGTTTTTTCTATTTATTTATATATTTCCAAAAAGCTTAAAATTATTAATAATTATTATTATTCTTATGAGACTTTTTATAAATATAAAATTTTTAAAGATTTGAAGAAAATTCAATATGTTCTTATTCTTTGAAGAACATTCAACAACTACTATCTAACACTACCAATGAATACAACCGTATACCACTGAGACACCTACATATGAGTTATTTGAAATAGTCATTTAAAAAAATAAATATTTAAAATATGTTTATAAAAAGGTAATGTTTAAAAATCAATTTTTAGATAAAGGTCTCAAACAATCAAACTCTTAAACAATTAAAATGTTTAAATTGTCAATGACATACATTGGCGTAACAAAATAACTAGAAACAAAGGTAAAGTGTAAACCTTACCTACATTTTAAATCATAATTACAACATTTTTTAAATATCTAAAAGTGAAACTTCATATTTGGTCTTTAACTAAGTCTTTCAATCTGAATATATGTCAAAAGATGTGTAGGTTAAGCTTAGAGAATTCTTTTGGGCATAATCAAGGTCAATTCTTAAGGGTCTTGGATAAGAAACAATCCAAACCCAAAGTCAAACCACTAATACCTGTATAAATCCAATATTTGGGGAAATGCATTTTAAATTTAAACATTGTTAAAGAACATGAAACTCATCAATAATAAGTCAACAATTTCAAAAGAGTGCAATGCATCATGCTTCCACTATCAATCACTAAGTCAATCTAGTAGTACAAATCTCACAATGATGGTTGAAGATTAGGGCTCATGTATAGATAACATATATCATATTATACACTTTTTAATGTACAATCAAATTCAAAGTTCAACTAGGTATCAACGATCCATCACACTAGACAACTTCAGGGATAACAAATTCACTCATGTAAGTGAAGACATTCAAGAATGCCATCATAACTCTTTCAAAGTTCCAAAAAATTAGGTATCCATAAGTGTCGCACCAAGTCTAACCCAACCTACATAGATACATAAGTTGATGAACAAAATCTCTTTCAAAATATTGCCCCATTATAAAACTCTTTAAAAAAACATTTCATAAATGAACACATATAACATATAGTATCTCAAGTATTAAATTAACATAAGAAAACATTTACAGAAATATTTCAAAGTACAATACGTAATAAGGGCATGCATTATTGGGCAACAAACTCACATCAATTGTTACAAGTACACTACTTGATTTTCCAGTGTCGTTTGGATGTCAATTAGTTACCTAAAGATCAAATAATTGGAGTACTTAATTGCGAATTAGTTTCTATATACTTAAACTAAAGCATATAAACCTAAGATACTCATTTCCCATAATTCCTAAGCCTATAGAAGGTTATGGAAGCAAAAAAAATTGGAAATGGATAAAAAAATATGTATGCAAGTAGAGCTTTACTCGGTCAAGTAGAATCGCTTTATGATTCTACTCGGCCAAGTATGTCTTGACAACACAAAACGAGTTTAAACCTCCAATAAGCATTCACATGTTGTACATTTTGATTCCAAACACTCTTAATTCCAACTCTAATGACTTAGGATGCTTAATCAAAGTTTAAGGATTTGTTCTAACACAAAATTAAAACATGATTAACATCCACAATTCATTAATTAAAGAATGATCTTCATCATCTTCTAATTAGAACATTAAAACTTAAGTATTACCACTAGATTAAAATCTCTCCAATGATTTGAACTTTGAACACTAAGATCAAATTGCAAATCATTAGAAAACGCTAAATTCATATTTAAACTTAAATATGAATAGACCAAGAATGATCATCCATTCTTAGAGCTCATAAACTTCATCAAAGCTTCACAACATCAATTTTTGACTGAATTTGAGATTTCAACACATAATTTGGACTTAAAATCATTGAAATTACATCTAAAAATCAATTATAAACCTAATCCATACTTTTAAATCGAATTCCATTGGATTCATGGATGAATTCATGAAGCTGTTATTTCAAATCCACATTAAAGCTTCATAACTCTATTTTTGGTCAATAAGATGAACTTACATCATTAAAATGATGTTATAAACATAGAATTCACCACATAACTTAAACTAATAACAGATTTTTTCATATAATTTAGATTTATGGAGCATTTTTAAACCTAGAACGCAAAAATAGAGAATAATACTACCTTTAGTACCTCTCTTAAATAAGATTGACTTGGAACTTCACTAGATCTTCATTTTGGCTTCTAATTTCACCATGTTAGCTCTCCAAAATATTTTCCCTCTCAACCCCATAGCTTTAGTCATTCGATGAATCAATTTTTTAAAATGAAAAAATCACCTCAGTAACATTAACCGTAGTCCGTAGATAATAACATGTTGGTTAAAAATGTATATTTTCAGAACCAAGAGGGGTTTAAGTGTACATACACAAAATCAAACTAATGGGCAGTTGTGTAGAATTTCGAATTTTCTTTATAAAATGTTTGTAAAATTTCAATCGTCACAACAAAAAGTTAGAAGGTGGTTTCTCTCTTTTGTTGTCTTTGCCTCCTGCCATATTTGAAGGCTTCTTCCTTTCATACTTATCGTCTTCTTCACTGAAGACTAAGCAAGCATGGGAAGAATCCGCAGAAAGCTCGATGCTCTCCTTGGCCGGAAATTCAAAACCTCACAGTTCAAAGCCACCGTTAACCTCGCCGTCACCCGCCTCTCCGTCCTAAAAAAACAGCGCCAAACTCGCCTCGGGGTGGCTCGCTCCGATATCATCGATCTCCTCAAGCTTAACCACCATGAACACGCTCTTAACCGGGTACTCACTTTCTCCAGTTCTATCAACGATTCTATTAAGAACCACCCCATTAATTAAACTTTAAATTATGGTATGTGACAGGTTGAGCAAGTGATTAAGGAGCAGAACATGTTTGATGCGTTTGTAATGATGGATGGTTACTGTCATCTGCTGTTACAAATGGTGAATCTCATAGAACAAGAGAAGTACGTGATTTCTGTGTTTTTTTAGCATGTTCATTGTGTTTGAGTTTCTGGGACTAATCATTTTCTGCAAATTTACATCAGGAATTGCCCTGATGAACTAAAAGAGGCAGCATCAAGCTTGCTGTACGCAGCTCCGAGATGTGGAGAGTTCCCGGAGCTTCAAGAGATTCGAGCGATTCTCACAGCACGTTTCGGGAAGGAATTTGCTAAAGGTGCTATTGACTTACGGAGTAACTGTGGAGTTAACACGAGGGTAAGAACATAAACCGGGATTCATAATTTCATATGATTCGTAACATATCAGATCCATATTTTGTTCATTTTAAGTTGAAATTTTAACATCGAGAGTATGTTTTCATTTTGATGGTGTTAATCAGATGATACAGAAACTGTCTCCCCAAAAGCCACTCTTGGAGAACCGAATGAGGATGCTTCAAGAGATCGCTACAGAGAATGGCATCGTTCTGCAACTAGACGATGTGTCTCCAGTGATTAAAGATGTAACTAAACTAAATCAGATTCAATGAAAAAACTGTAAAGATTTCAAGTAAAATATTGACTCACGATTAAATTCTATGTGTTGTTGAACAAAAACAGAATCAATCAGAAGTCGGGGATGTATCAACACATAGTGGGATTGAAAACACTTCGAATGCTTTGGGGGATGAGTTCGTTGAAGTTTCGAGTTTCTCGGAGTCCATAAAGGGGAAGAAGAAATTCAGGGATGTACAACATGCTGCTCAAGCTGCGTTTGAATCAGCCGCGTATTCAGCGGCTGCCGCCAGAGCTGCGGTGGAGCTCTCTCGGCCAAGATCTTTCGATTCTGATAATCCCGATAGCCCCAATTCCCGACCAAGAAAAGCACTTGATTCCAAGCCGGATAAATCAAAACTCCAAATGAGATATGAGAAAAGTCACGAATCGGAATCAGAATCTGAATCTGCCCTAAACCTTAAAGAAGAACATGAAGATAAGGTAGAGAATGATGGTGAAAAAATTAGAAAAATCACGGTGGCCGGAGACACTGATGGTTCTGATTCGGATAGGTATAAGCAGCCATTGGAGAAGACGAAGACGATTGTTTTCGACGAGAGTGACAACGACATTGAAAACAATAATACTGGTTTTTTGTCATCAAGAAACTATGATAAAGGAATGGATGCAGAACAAGAACAACCGGAGTATGATTCTGGATTTGACGAAGGGTGGAAGATGGAGTCGGGAGTGAAGCAACTAGATATTACAAAGAGGCCGATTTCTGTGAGGACTAAACGAGTTTATGTACGATAACAAGCTGTGAATTGTGTGATCGTGTTCGAAGTTTTGCGAGTACGAATGGGTTATTAAGGCGTTCTGTTCCTAAGTTTTGAAGGTTTGATGTTTTTTTTATTTAATTTCTGTAAGAATGCATTTTGTTATGCTAGGAAGGTTATGTTATATGTTGCATTCCACATAGGTGAATATATTTGTTTATGTACGCTTTACACTTTATGGGTTATATTCTTACTTAAATAGCAAATTATATAAAAGTTATCATATTTTGGTTTTTTTTTTCCAGATTAGGTCGGATAATGGATAATGCATTGCCTTCTCATTAGTTTGATCGGTATTTATCATCGTATAAGAGTCCAATCATGGCAACAATTTAGGCTATCAACTACTTGACTAACTACTATTATAGGATTTGGATTTGGTATATATATAGATAAGGCCATAGGTTAGACATTAAGTATAAAAGATACACAAAATCTACGTGGCTAAACAATTATTTTGTTTCGAAAATTATCAAAGAGAACTCGTGGAAAGTCTCTGGTGAACGTTTGTGTTGTATAGGGTTACCAATTTACTCTAATATTATCACAAATGTACTAGTGGTCATAGATAATGTAGTTCTAAGAGAAGGATGCAAATCCAACAAGATTTGACAACATTAGCAACGTCACATGGATGTTGTTTCGAGGACCAATAAACCAAATTATCTCATAATGGAGCGTCCGTTATTAGGGCAACGCTACATGGTTGTTGTTTCGAAAACCGCAACGAGAAACATATGACTTATAATTGTAACATCCCAAAAATTTGATGATTGGTTATATCGAGCAATGGTCAAACAAAAATGTAAAGTTCAAGAAATGTATTTGGACTCGATGATCAATGCCAATAAGCCAAGAACTTGACAATTGTACTTAATAAAGCCAACCCATTTCTTTTATTTGATTAAAAATGGAATTAATAGCTCAAAGTTAAAAAAGAATAAATTATTAGTCTTTTATTTGAAAAGGAACGTACTTTGAATAATTACGTGATAAACGAAAACAAATACATTTTGGGTATTTTGTGGTATTTTCATATTTAATAATAACTAGGGAGTTTATCCACGCTTTGCAAGGGGCCGAAGTTGTTTTTGTTTGGAGTGTATTTCTGTTAATTCGATTTTGACAAAATTATAAGAATGGTCAATGTGGTATGTCAAAACTAGCAAGACGTTTGGACTCACAATGGTGGTCCAAAAGTTTGATTTTGTTGTGTGTGTGTGTGAGAGAGAGAGAGAGAGAGAGAGATTTTCATTTTTTTTTCCTTTTTCTTTTTTTGATTTATGTAATAAAAAATTAAAAAAGGAAAATACCATGGGCAAATCCATCATTTTAAAAAGTTTCAAAATTTTTGGACCAAACTCGTAACAAAATCAAAATTTTGGACTACCTTGCGAGTCCAAACTTGCTAGTTTTGACATACCACACGAAGGAGTACTTGATTTTCTTCTAATCGGTTTATTCACAAAATCAGGTATCCTATTCCCCCAATTTCTCTTTTATATTTTGGAAACTAGATATTGATTTGAATTTTAACACTCACAAATCGATTCTATAAATATGAGGAACGAAATTGATTCCATAAATAATCATGAATGTAAGTTTTATAGCAATTCCATATCTTCGACAAGATTGTTGTTGCTGCTTTGAAGAATAGAGACAATGGAGCTAAAAACATGTTTGTATTTTTAGATTTTTGTGTTTTTAGTTCTCTGGGTTTTATTCTTCTCACATTTCTTTATTCTTTCTTGAATTGTCATGTTTGTTTCTTTGATTGCCCATTTTTTGAATTGCTAATGTTGTATACATCTATTATTTGAATTGTCATGTTTGTTTCTTCTCTGGGTTTTGAATTTTGAATTGCCCATTTTTTGAATTGCTAATGTTGCATGCTTAAACTAATATGCAATGTATGTACACATATGTTATTTGGGTCAGAACCAGACCGAATCTGAACCCGAATAACCCGAAAACCGAATAAGGGTAATTGCATGAACCGAAAACTGAACCGATTAACCATTATAGGTTCGGTTCAGTTCGAGTATTAATCGATCGGTTCGGTTATTACGCGAATAACCTGAATAACATGTACAAGATAATTAAGGACCTAATATAACCGAAAAAACTGAATAAACCATATTAAGATTCTATAACCCGAATAATAGAATAACAATGTACTTTTATACATCAACATAAAACATTCAAAGACTAACATAACACAATAACACAATGAAAGAATAACATTTACATAGTAGATTAACATAATGAGAATTAATTTCATACTTGAGTTTCTAATTCCATGACTAGACAAAGTACGAATTCGTGAATCCTTAGAGACAATAGGAAGAGTCAAATTTTGAAAGTCGGAAACAAGAGGAATGATCGACAAAAGTGATTCCGAGTTTGGAAATAGTTGAGAAGATTGGTCGATTTTGAAACAACGAGGACGGGCATATGGTTATTTTTTTGTTATGAACGGTGAGGACAAAAGTGTAAATTGTGATTTTGATTTCTATTGATCAGAGAAAGGGGACACGGAATGCTTATTCGTGTCGGGTATTTAGAACCGAATACGCTCTTATTTGGGTAACCCAGACCGAATAACCTGAGAACCGAATAAGCATAATATAAATACTCGAAACCCAAACCGAATTGCTTATTCGGGCCTAATTCAGTTCGGTTCTGATTTCGGGGCCAAATTCTCATCCCTACTTTTAAGTATATTGCTTGATAACTAATAAAAGAGTATTAACAGAGTTGGAATTTTAGTTACTACAAAACACATTTAGTTAACAAACACCTAAAAGTCAAATCTATGAAAAGTTAACCCTCAAACCCAATTTGTTTAAATCTGATAATTATACTGTAAGTATGGCTTTGATTTTAGGCCAAAACAAAACCAAAACAAAGTTCCAAACCTTACTCTCTTATTTGGTTGTTTGGAAAATATAGGAATCAGATCAATTGTCATAACATAAAGAGATATTGTAAAAAAAAAAAAAACATTAGGTTTGCATTTTTTTAACGGCTTTACTTTTTTTATTGTCAATAAAAAAGAATCTTATAAGTTGCTGCAGGAGTCGGTAGGAGTCCGTGATTTTATTTAATAATCAAGACCTTAAACGAAAAACTTAAAAACGCTAAGAGATTAATAAATTTAAAAAATATTTTTTAAAGGGAAAACTCCATAAAAAATATGTTTATTTTTTGTACAAATATGACTTTAAAAGATAAACAAAACATATTCGAAAAATATTTTTGAAAAAAAAAATATAAAAACTAAATTAAGGCTGAAATCGTAAAAAAAAATTGAAATCTGGACAAAAAGTGTAAAATTTTGACCAAATTTGTAATAAAATTTAAAATCTTGGCCAAAACTGCAATTTTTGAAAGTGGGATGACCTGGATAAAAGGGTTAGATTGAATACAATTCCCGGTTTTTTGGACTTAATTGAATAAAAAAACATATAATGAGTAATCGATTATGAGGTCAAAACATAAAAACTTTTTTTTTGAAATATTAGATATTATTAAATAGGTCTTCTTTTAGTTTAAAGTCTTGACCCTAATTTTACCCGTTTGTTTTTCTTGTCGTGTATGTCAACCCATTTATTTAAACGTATCGAAAGCTCTTATCCAAACCCGGTTATTTCGTGTCAGGTTTTGATTTGATTATGTTGACTATTAACTGTGATTGTATGAAAAAAAATCGTGTATAAGATTAACGTTTAAAAAAATATAAATCAGTTTTTTTACCCTGGTTCCCACAGGTTGTATTTTTTAATTTGTAATTTATTGTTTTGTGTTTATTTATTTTGTTATAGTTAAATTTAATTTTTCATATATCAGTGTCACTTCCATTATTGATTGTATTTTTCTTTACACTCTATTAAATTTAATATTCTGTTTTAAAAATCATAATTATATTAAATGTCTTCACATACGTATACATAACATATATATATATATATATATATATATATATATATATATAGACTAAACTGCACAAATGGTTCTTATGGTTTGCTCAAAATTGTCACTTTGGTCCAAAAAAGTTTGCACTAGCATCACAGGTCCAAAGTTTTCATTTTGTTGCGAGTTTGGTCCAATTTGCTTTGAACTTTTTCATTATGACGATTTTGCCATTACTTTTTCTTTTTTAGTTTTTTTATTTATTTAAATATTGTTCTGTTTAAAAGACAAAAAAAATTGTCTTTACTATTTTACTTTAATAATTTTTTTATAAAGAAAAAAATAAATAAAATATATAATCTCTCTCTCTTTCTCTCTCTCTCTCTCTCTCTCTCTCCACCCACCGTCTTCCCCATCCCTCTTCCATCTTTGTGTTTCACTGTTGTTGCCAAGAGATACCCTCAAAGAGCATCTCCATCTCCAACAAAAAATTAGGCAAGTCATCTACATCCCTAATCAGCCCTCATCATCGCCATTCTCTCTCTCTCTCTCTCTCTCTCTCTCATTTCTTGTTTACCACCATCCAAAGAAGAAGAAATCGGCGGCTGTTGTCGGCCTGGGCCCCCCTCCGCCTCCATTCGTTCAGGTAGCACCACCCAAACACCCACTTTGATCGTTGCTACCCTCCCTTTGAACCTTGACAGCCGAAGACAAGAGAAAGGAGATCGAAACTTGAAGTTAGGGTTTCTTGGCGGCTAGGGTTTTCAGATACGGGGTTTTGCGACTGGAAATCAAGGGAAGAGACATGAGGTGAAGGGATGGGTGTTTGGTGGTAGGGATTGCTTTAACAAGCGGGTTCGACAAGGGTTAGATTGACAGTGGTTCATCTTCGAGATCGATTAAGATGAAACTATGTAGAAGAATGTGATTTTATCATCATTTTGACTTCCATGTCTACCTCGTGGTTCAGAGAAGACAAAGCGGCAGAGGTCAATTTGAATCCATCTCTCTACCTCGTCATATATGCTCCGAGATCTGAAGACGAAAAGAGATATGTTCGTGTATGTGTGTTTTCTTGTTTGAAGGCAATATATCAATTTCTTTCCCCTAAATCTAGTTCGAATCTTCAATGGTAGTGGTGATATTTTATTTTTATGAAAATCGTAACTATTAAGATGTGTTTTGATTTCTGAAGTAGGTGTTCATGGATTTCTGAAGTGGTGTTCATGGATTGTATTTTTTTTCTTTTTTTTTGAAAAGAAACGAAGTGGTGGTGAGAGAGAGAGAGAGA